ATTGCCATTTGAAATTAATTTCAGGGAGAATCTGAAGCAGGCAAGAGGGATGAAGATCTAGCAAATATCTGGCCTCTTCCTATCCTTCGGAGGTAAATAGACCTTGGTTTCAAGGAACTATTAGATCACTCTGTAAAAGTTTTTTTAAATTTTAAACTATCTTCTGTTAGCAACTTCTTGTTATTATTTTGGGATGATGGTTGGGATTTCTAGATAATTCTTGTTCGAAGAAAATTTATCCTTAACCACCAAGTACTCAACAATCTTATGTATCTACTTGGATCACTTGAGTTTGTAGCTTTTGTAGATGTCTTGCAGGTATATTCACTACGTAAAAAAGCACTTTAAACCAGTGCTCACAAAAGAGGCTGAAAAAGTTATCTCAAGCTATTATCAACTCCAAAGGAGATCAGGAACACATAATGCAGGTTTCTTCTTTAGAAATCCCTTCAACTTGATGATGATTGCCATTATTCTATTCACTTTGATCATACCATAATGGATTATGCAGCAAGAACAACAGTGCGTATGCTTGAAAGCTTGATACGCCTGGCTCAAGGTATGTTGGAGAATTTGTTGATTTATTATCCTTATGAGCCAAGACTCTGTCCATAGGACTTTGTTGTTTGCAATGTTGCTGCAGTATCCAATCATCAATGCGGGTGTTGACACTTACAATGTTGCAGCACATGCAAGGCTTATGTTCAGAAATGAGGTCACAAGATTAGATGCCATAACAGCCATTTTATGCATTGAATCGTCCATGACTATCTCAGCCATTGTAGACAGCATAGGGAATGCCCTGCACTCCAATTTCACTGAGAACCCTGATCAGGAATGTATCCTTGCCAGCTCTCTGGTAACTTTATAAATAATCCATGATGAATACATGATATGCATATTCATGCCAAAAGTGTGATAGGGTGTTTAATGCTTATAGCCACTAAAGCGATATAATTTTTGCAAGCAACAAACAATCGGTGCAATTTCATAACTTAAATTTGGGGAGTTAATTCTATCGTGATCTGGATACCTATTTTAGACCTATCCGGAAACTAATGCTTATAGAAATTTTCTGCAAATAAGTTTGAGCCACTTAGCCATATTTTTATCTAAAATTTTCCATTAAGGGGAAAAATATCTGATGCTCTTACTGAAGTGTTACTTAGGAACTTTGTAATTTGAAATTTTAAAAAATTATGGTGAAGCCAAAACTTGGTTATTGCAGTATCCCTGCATGCATGATTGATGTTTAGTTCATAACCTTGAAATTTTATTTCATAGAGAAGATTTTTTGAATTCTTGACTTCAATGGAATAGATGCCAAGCAAGAAAGGTTAATTCTTGAAAAGTTAAGTTCAGTTGATGAGTTCCAAGAATCAAATGGCTGAGAAGGCTTGTGATGACGAAAATGAGTAGGAAAACAGAAGCATCCTGGTTGAATGAGCTGTTTGGAGGTCTCAGCTAACAGCCATAACCGTTCACTATAGAAATTTTATCAGTTTGCTTTTTGATAGGACAGGTAAATGCTATTTATATTTAATGCAATCAGCCTTAAGTAGATGTTCTGAAAGTTTAGAGGACAGAACTTTTGAACGGGGCTTTATTTGAAAAGCCTAGTTGATGGTGATCTGATGGGATATCAGGATTATTTGTCTGTAAATTTAGAAGGATTTGTTTGTAACTATCAAACACTTGTAGCATCTTTTTACGCCTTGGAGCCCATGCTTGTCCCGCTTTATTCTAATGCAGGGATAGGGATATGGGAGACATTTTAAATATATTTCTCTTTTTTCTTTCTTGGATGATGAGGCTTTTTCTTCTGTAGTATTATACAAGAATATGGACGCTATTGTACCTCCAACAATTTTGCCACAGTGCAATGCTTAAGGTGTGTCTTGAATGCTTATAGTTGCTTTTTGATAGTAGAATATAATTATTTGGCAGCATTCCAAAATATTTTGACAGATGCAATAAGACATTTTATTATTTCTGCTCTTGGAGTTTCCGACTGATAGATATTGAAGGCTTGAAGCTGAAAAGATCTAGACAGAGTGTTGCTATTAAAGAAAAATATCTTATCTCTGTTTTGAAACTTCATAACTAGATGTACATTAGAAGTTTGATAATATGCTTTATGGTTTTTCATTGATCATTACATTCCATTTAAAAGAAACTAAAGTAAGAAGAAAGAACCATGGGAGGGGCTCTACGCAAAAAGATTGTCCAAATCTAATTTTACAAGCTTGTCAATAGCTAGCACTCTGGAACACCCAGTTCTGGATTTAGTATTTGTTGCATCCTTAATAAGCTTCTCATCCTTTGGGACGTACCCAGCCTGATTTGAAGCAAAAGCTGACAGTGAGGACAAAACCAATTGCTGCTCCAGTGCTAAATTTCCAATCCACAATCTTCATTTTTTCACCTGGAGTTACAAGTGGAGGTACCTGTTCTGTTTGGCATGGCCGTAACATTCTAGAGCAAAGAGCCTCGTTACCCTCAAAGCTTGACTCAGGGAATGTCGTAAACTGACCTCCTGAAGGTATATCCCCATAGAGCTGATTGTATGATACATTGAATTTTGACAAAAAGCTGAGATGTACCAGTGAATTAGGTATTTTGCCTGAGAGCTTGTTACGAGACAAATCCAACTGTTCTAAGCTTGTCATCTCCGACATACTATTTGGAATGGTTCCTGAAAGGTCGTTCCCTTCCAGACTCAAAAT